ATGAAGATATGGATAATCTTCACGAAGGGGCATGTGAAGGACCACATATATGGCCCAATGACATTTCCCTATGCACAACAGCTGAGACACAAATGCCATGTCTAGAATATGAAGATCATTAGAATTGATAACACCCACAGCTTCCAGGACTGCACGTTGGTGCCAGATCATATGATAATCAAGTGGATCACGTGTTGAAGAGAAGGCACTAAACATAGACTTCAGAAAGCTGAATTCTGTCTCTTCACTACCATGAAGAAGCATGAGATAAAATGAAATGTCAAAGTGTTTATACACGTTCCAACTGCTAGCCTCCTCTGAAGTTCCTTCATCAATATAAAGTGGAACAGGATATGGAGCTGTTCCCTCATCAAGAAAATGTTTGTAAGTCTGGAAAGCAATGGGTAATGAAGTGTCAGGTGGTAGTTTGTACCACATTAATAAACCTAAGAACCTCCTCCAATCAATTTTGACATCATGCAATGCATCGTGAATATTTCCTGCAAGCAATTCATAAAGTCTCAATCTGTCCTCTTCAATGAAACTAAAATCCAGCCCTTTATTTCTCCAAACATCAAGTTGCCTCGCAATATCAGAGCGATTCACAGTAGAACCACCAGCCTGACTTAACAAACAAGCCAACCTCACATCTCCTTTGGACACAGCCAGCTGCACTGCTTCATCCAGTTTCCTCCCAGTCAGAAGTACAAAAATATGTTGTAGATAATGAGCGTCATTTAGAGAGCTAATTTGATTTTGAACATGATAGGAAACACTCTCACGCAACCAATAACTGAACTCTGCCCTCCTCACAAGAGGGAGTGCTTCTTGGTCAACATCTTGACAAACTTCTTTTAAATCCTGCATCATATCTTCCTCATTGTCAGCAGCCAATGATTCTACCTGAACCTTTGGTTCTCTATCAGAAAAAAGAACTCTAATTAACTCCCAGGACATTACTTGGTGTGTCAAACCCAAGCGAGCAGAGGAAGATAACCCAGGAACACTCGATTGCCTCTCAATAATACCACAGTACTGACAGGAAATCTTTGACAGGGTTGTACGATTAGCTTCAAGCTTTTGAAGTCTCAACTTGCAGGGACCAATTTCAACTTCTTTCATCACATGGTTTATTCCTTTGTGAAAATTTAAGGAAGAAATCAAAGCACAGTCAACAAGTTCCTCACTCACCTTTTTATTTTCATCCCTAACCAGATTGTCAAAAGCAACTTTCTCCAAATTGACAACAGATGATAATAGCTTGCGCTCACCACCACTTCCAACAGGTGCACCAGAATGTACAAGAATGCCATTTGGTCCCCACCCAACTCGAAATGACTTACCCATAAACAGACCAGCATCAACTATATTGTGAGCGTAGTTTCCAGTTACTGGAGTTTCATGCTTGAGGTCTAGCTTAAAACCTTGTGCTTTTGTTGTCCTAAGAGGCACGCCCTTGTGTTGCGGAACCATTAAAATGGCCCCATGAGAATTTGAATCAAAATTCCCATGTTTATACTCAAGTAATGGAAATGGAGTTTTTCGAGCAACTGGTGGAGTAGATCTATGGGTCGTTGTCTGAGCAGAACTTTGTAAAGGCCTCACATGTTCCTTACCAGAAGATGACTTGTGACTTATATCCTCTATCTCTTCATCATCAGGAAACATCAATAATCTCATTTCTCTCATTTTAACAGGATCAAGCCTAAGATGAGCCGGAAGAGAATGAGAAAGCTCAATTTCATTGGTATTTGTTGGTGATTCTTTCTCAACATCATGTATCTCAGCATCATCCATAGTGATGTCTTCTTCATCATCTTCACCAAACCCAAATCTACTGAAGTGTTCAACTAAGAATTTCCACTCACCAGTTACTCGATCAAAGGAAATAAATTGTGCTCCTTGTCTCTCTGTACTTTGTTTTAACTTTTTCACCAAAACATTTTCTTGCCACTCCTTAGACTTGAATGGTCCACTGTCTAGTAACAAAACAACTTCAGCTGCCTTGTTAAGGCCCTCACCAGCTGTAGGCTTATCATTTTCATCACTGTATACAACTATCTCATGCCTATGAAACTTGACAATTTCATCTAGATGTAACCCTCTGACATCAGTTTTATTAAGATACCTGACATATCCATAACCAAATCTTCCAACAGTGAAATCAGGAACACGGCTGCAATAACCGGGGTCAAGGAGTTCCTGGGCCACTAATTCCTTCAGAGATGGTTTGGTATAGTAACAGGGTGAGTGCAACATTGGTAAGGAAGCTTCAATCTCCGTCATGATCTCATTGGATGGAGTAATGCAGCTTTTATAAACCTTTCTTTTCTTGCAAGTATGCACAATGCATGAATCAGAAATGCCTCCTGCATCACATTCCATCACACAGCCAGTTCAAAAGTGACATGTTGCGTTTTGAACATTGAAATTTCAACTCAATTCCCCGAAACAATCTCTAAAACAATATAAAAAGAAAGAAAGAAAGATTAAGTACAGAGGCTTGGAAGGTGAAACGGATATTGCATCTTATTTTAGGAAAACATTACGAATCAAGCTACTGATAGCAACAAATTATGAATTATACAGGGTTTATACCTATCTCTGAACTTAATTAAAAAATGACACATGCGAAATGAACAACTAAATTTGCAACATAGCTACACTATACAACACATGTATCTATTTTTAATGAATTGTACGATTATCGGATAAGTTTTAGTTTAAGAATACGAAAACTATAAATTAATTGATGGAAGAGTTATCCGAATCGACTTCACTTAAAGCACGGCATAGCATAGAGAAGTGAAAAATAAAAAATAATAAAAAAATAAAAAAATTAGTAGAAATGGAATGAAGATACAATTTGCAAAGATATAAAACCAAATCCTTAACTAATACACTAAAGTAGCGTGATAGTGAACTTGCTGCGTAAATAAGAAAGAAATCAAGAAACGAAGCACAGTGAAGTCGTTTAACATTAAGATTCAACAGAATATACACACACACACACAGAGAGAGAGAGAGAGAGAGAGAGGAAACTCACAGTGACAGGAGCTGGAAGCAGTGACGGAGCTGGTGAGACCAAGAGCGGAAAAAGGAACGAGCGGAGGTTTAGGGAATTGGGAAGGAAAATTTTCGAGGCTGAAGTTGGGCTATTGGGCCCAATTGTAACACTTTATAGACGAGCCCAAGCCGAGAATTTTTTTTTGTTTTTGTCATTTTGTTATAATTATTATGGGAAGAGTGTTTGTCATTTTAAATGACAGAAAGTTATGTCATTTTAAGAGAGATACAGACACAGAAAATTTGAATTTTAAATTAAAAAAAACAACCCACTTTCTCTCTCCCATGATTCCCGTTTTTCTGTGTCTATCTCTCTCCTAAAATGACATAACTTATTTCATTTAAAATGACAAACACAAACCCTATTATTATGGGGTTTGAGGCTCTCATGCAACATGAACACTTTCTCTTCTCCCTCATACAGTAAATCATGCTGGGACCCACCGTGTATTTTTTTAAAACATAATAAAAAAATTAAACAATTTTTTTTCTGTGACTATTGCATACGAACACACTTCTCGTGTGAAAGGAGAAGTGTTTTTCCCAATTATTATTCCTTGAACCTTTTGTTTTTTAAATAGGATATTGTAACAATCAATATTACTACCGATCAATTTCATTATTAGATCGATTATGTTGATCCAACTGTTATATTTATTTTCATCTCTTTTATGAATATGATTCCCCATATTTAATGTGAAAGCATTGAATATGAGAAATCATAACTATACAAATGCGAAAATAAATATAAAGTATTAAATATGGAGAATAATAATCATACAAAGATGGAAATAAATGTAACTGTTAGATCAACATAATCGATCTAACAGTGAAATTGATTGATAGCAACATTGACAGTAACACTAATTAGTTGTTACAATATCCTTCCCTATTATTTTTTAGAATACTTCGTTGAAATATGGTGATTACGAATGTAAATAAGCTGGGTCAAGCAAAATCTAAAAAAATATTTTGAGCTTGACTTGGCTCATTAACCCGATACAAGCTAAATTCTAGACTTGATTTGACTTATTTATTTATAAAATATTAGAATCTATTTGGTGTGATTTAAAGCCTGATAGTATAAGCTTATACTATACGATATGACATTTTTAGTTATTTGGTGTGACTATCGTATAGTATAAGCTTATACAACAGAGTCCCTTAATACATCAAAATAATGTATAACTTAATCAGGCCTAAGGGAGTTGGATAAGGCCTGATAAGAGATTGATGTATTAATATTACTAACCAGTGCAATTATCAACAATTAATATATTATTTAATATATTAAAAATAAATTTTCACTATATTAATTTTGAAAATATTAAAGTTTTTTATTTTTATAAAAAATAATATATATATATATATATATGTATTTTGTTATCCTAATTAATACTGATCAATAGATTTTTTATAAAAATTAATATAATATGACATATTTAGAAGAACTATATAATTTTTTTATTAAAAGGTATTTTTGTAAAAGATATTTTTTTATCCTATCTAATATTATGCGATGCATTATTAAATACTGAATAATATTATCTTATACAATACATTAACTTATATAATATCATGCCAAATATTAGATAGTATTAAAATTTAATCAAACCTTATATTATCAAATCAGATTAAAGCTTATATTATCAAATCTTATAATAATATCCTATACTGTAGACGAAACTTATAAAGCTTTTAGCCTGATAACCCGCCCCAATAACTTTTAGCCCGATTCTCTTTTGTCATATGTTAACTACAGGATCAACCCGTTTGTAAACGGGCATTGGGTTGTTGGGTTGAGATTCATAACCCAACATGTCAACTTGGGCCGGGTTATTCGTACTGACCCATCTGGTCAGACCCGTTTTGGCTTTGGTTTAAGAAGGGTTCTTCTTCTTCTTCTTAACCCTCTTTCAACTGTGTGCTGACAGCGCTCACCACCGCTTGCAACACATTGCATTGTGTCCAGTTAGTTATCTCTCAATTTCGTTCGGCGCTTTGCTTTGGTGCAGAATGATTTCAGCAATTTCGTGGATACCGAAAGGGGTTTCAAAGCCAGAACCCCATGTGGCGGAACCTCCTTCAAAGGAAGATATTGAAGAATTCATCACCACCCACAGAAGGTGCTTTTCCATCTTCTAATACCAAAAATCTTATTTATCAATTATTATTCACAAATAACGTCCCTTTTCGTTTATAAAATAGAGACAGTGAGAACGAAGATGATGATGATGTGGATGCTGATGCCAACAAACACAGCGATGAAATTGCCCAAGCATTAACCGTAGCAGACGCAATTGGCAAAGCATCCACAGAAAAATCTGATGATATAACCCTTGGCTTGGAGGAACTTCGCATGGAAGAATACGATGATGAGGATGAAGGTATCTTCAACTCTTTCTCTTCATGTGTCTGTCTTCCGCCTTGTGTATGCTCAACACTGTATTCATGTTCCTTTATCAATTTATGGATAATTTGCAAATATCAGGATTTGAATTATTCAGTTCGGGGATTGGTGATCTTTATTATCCAAGTAACGAGTTGGATCCATATATCAAAGATAAAAAAGTAAGTTCCAATACTTGCTTTTTATTGTTCCGCTTCTTTCCTTGCCCTTTTGATTCTTAAACTAGAACTTTATTTGTTTTTCATTATTTAGGATGATGATTCTGAAGAACTTGAAGACATGATAATTAATCCAGCTGATTCTGTCATTGTCTGCGCACGTAATGAAGATAATGTCAGTTTTCTTGAGGTAAGCAAATTGTTAGTTATGAAGAGATATATTATACACCACCTTTGGCCCTATCCAAAAAGTAGACTTGTGAGTCATGTCTTTCTGCACTGGCAGGTTTGGATAATAGAGGACACCAACTCTAGCGACATGAACATGTATATTCACCATGATATCATAATTCCAGCATTTCCACTCTGCACAGCTTGGCTTGATTGCCCCCTTAAAGGAGGAGAAAGAGGTAGATACATCTGGCATGTATATTTGTGTTCATCTAGTTGATTGATTGTTTAGTGCAATTGGGCTTTTCTCCCCCTCCCCCTCTTCACAAGTATATAAAGCTGCTCTTGGAAATATAAAATTTTCAGGAGAAACTTGTAAAATGTCTTCATGATATGCTCTGATAATTTCTACATTCATTTGAGTATGTCAGAAACATGAAAAATTCATATTTCTCCCAGGTAAAGCCAAAAAATTATAATTAAGTAACAATTCCTTAGACAATAGAGAGATTAATATGTGCTGGTAGTCAAAGCTTATATAATGTAGACCATAAAAGATTTCTTGAAAGGTTTGGTAATTGTTTCTATATTTGGATTACCTAAAATTGCCACCATTTTTAGCAATTTATGCTCAAAATTTGACTTGCTTTGCTTAAGTCTTATTATATTAATATAATTTCATTATGATCACAGGGAATTTCTTAGCTGTTGGTTCAATGGAACCTTCCATAGAAATTTGGGACCTTGATGTTGTAAGTGTATTTACACATATAAATCTCAGTGCCTGTCTGAAATTTACAAAATTTGAGGCCTTTTTGCAGAATAACTTTTAATTTTCCTTTGCTCTCAGATTGATGAGGTACAACCATGTGTGGTTTTAGGTGGCATTGCAGAGAAAAAGAAAAAGGGAAAAAAGGTTTGTTCTCCATTTTTGTTAATTTCAATCCCCTTAGAATTATGTGGTTACCTCTTTCATTCTCAAATGCAACATGCGTAATTATGATTTATTTATAGAAGTTGCATGTGTTGTGCTTTTTGAAATTTTAAATGCAGTATCTTGCCAATCACTGTTGATAGTTCCAAGTCTTAGACCCATTAGTTATGAAATTGTTTGGTGAATGGGGATACATGGTTGAGCAATTGAATGCCATGCCTCTCTTTCTCTCCACACACGCACACTCACGCAGACGCACGTGCACGCACGCACACGCACTTACTTTGTACTTAAATAAAAAATTTTAGCCTAGTTTTTCCTAAGATTTTGGTCATCCTTTATCTTAAATCTTTATAACTACCTTTATACTTTTTTTATGAAACTAAATCATTCACCTAAGTTCAAGTACATTTTGGTCCAGTCAGCATTCTGAGTTTATCACACTTCATTGTTTATATCTATTGGTAATTTCTGAATTTTGTAACTTCAATTTTTTTATTGTGAATATCATTACATGTAGCTGAAAATATAGATGTCTTATCCATATGGGGATGATTGCTCGTACAATTTGATTAGACTTTATATTTTTAGACACAGACTTTCTTATTTTAGACACCATGCATGTTGTCCAAGATAGATTGACTAACTGAAAAGAGATCTTCATTATTTTCTTTAACCGTTTTAGAAGAAAACAATATATATATATATGTGGCCATTTCTTTTGATTAAATTCGATTTCAAGCTGTCATATGAATCCTCTTTTACTGATTCTGCAAATTGTTTTGTGGTAGAAATCAATCAAATACAAAGATGGCAGTCACACTGACTCCGTACTTGGTCTTGCTTGGAACAAAGAGTACAGGTTTGTTAAATTTAAAACAGGATTCTGCTTTTATTTCCTCCACTGGATGCTTCTTGGAACCTAAGGGTTTCATTTATTAAATTTTTTTGAACCCTACACATCTATTGACATCCATCTTTAAAAAAATAAATAAAAAATACAGGAATATACTTGCAAGTGCCAGTGCTGATAATCGAGTGAAGATTTGGGATGTGGTTGCTGGGAAGTGTGATATTACAATGGAGCATCACTCGAAGGAGGCAAGGATTTAGCTATTGTGTAATTATTTTTTATTGTGAGCTCATTTTATTGATGAATTGGATTTTTTCTTCATATCCTCGTGTTTTTTTGTTTTTTTTGGAACTATTAAATAAGTAGAACTTTGGAAACAGATTTGCAAATTGTTAGATTGAGATGACCTTTACTATGCAATTATGAACCAAGATGGAAAAGTTGTGGTATTTAATCATTATGTTCAAATTTAAATGTTTTATTAAGTACAAATATGTAAATGTTGTAAACAAGTTTATAAGTCTTTCTTGGGGCTTTGTTGAGCAAAGCTCCACATTGTTTATAAGGGGAAAATTTTCACCTTTTCTTCCTTAATCAAATTATTAAATGCAATAATTTATATTTTTTGTCAGTTACTGATTTAAATTAAAAGGGGGCGAACCGGAGCAGTGGTAAAACTGTTCCTTCATGACTGAAAGGTCATGGGTTCGAATCCAGGAAACAGCCTCTTTGCAATTATACAAGGGTAAGGCTGCGTACAAGGATTTCCTCCACCCCACACTCGCTAGTCGGGTTTAACGGGGAGTGGTTTTTACTGATTTAAATTATTGGAGTCAATACATTTCTGGATGTTTTTCAAATTTATCTCTTGTCTATCTATCCTCACAGGTTCAAGCAGTTGCTTGGAATTATCATGCACCACAGGTTCTTCTTAGTGGATCGTTTGATCATACGGTTGTCTTGGTAATGATGCAATGTTCCTTGGTTACTCTGCTTTTTTGTATTTTGTTCTGGCATTGATTACTTATCATGTGGTATTATCCATATGCTCCAAGAGACATTTCCTTTGAAAACAAATATATGTGAACTTTGAAAGCCTTCACTCTTTTGTTTAAATATTCATTTAGTTATCTAATTTTTTAATGCTATTATACTTTGCAGAAGGATGGTAGGATGCCATCACATTCTGGCTTTAAGTGGTCAGTCACAGCTGATGTAGAGAGCTTGGCATGGGACCCGCACACTGAGCACTCTTTTGTGGTGTGTTATGGTTATTTCTAAGGGCCTAAGTACTAACATTTTTTTTTTTCATTTTTCTGATAAAAAAACACTAGCATTATTTTTTTTTATCTTTTTTTGATAAAAGGGTAGCTAACATTCTTTTAGCTACTACCTTCCTAGTATTTTGTTTTTATTTTGATTATTTAATGTATGTTAAATAAAAAGGGGTTTTGGGGGAGGGGGCTGGTTCTTTTTCTATCGGGTGAATTCTGAATTTTGATTTCTTGGATGCATGGGTATATTAGTTCACTAATAATGATTTAATTGTCCTGTTAGGTGAGTCTTGAAGATGGTGTTGTAAATTGTTTTGATGTTCGGACTGCCAAGTCTGATTCCACATCTGAGCTGAGTCCTACGTTTACACTCCATGCACATGACAAAGCTGTTACCGCACTATCCTATAATCTTTCAGTACCTAATGTACGTATCTTCAACATTTTGGTGAGAAAATAAGCTTATTATGTACTTTAGTTTAACCCTGCTCTGTTGACATGACTTCGTGCAGCTTCTTGCTACTGGTTCCACGGATAAAACGGTAATATTGAAGTTAATTTGTTATTTTCCTGGATACCGTATCCTGCAGATTGGGATTCATCTCGTTTGACTGGTGTTGTTTGTTGCAGGTAAAGCTTTGGGATTTATCGAACAATCAACCATCTTGTGTAGCATCTAAAACTCCGAAAGTGGTAAGTTCCTCCCCCCCCCCTCCCCCTCCCCCTCCCCCTCCCCCTCCGCCTCTTGCTCTTCTTCGTATATGTCTAATTGGAAACTATTCTATGGATCATGATGCCTTGTTAAACTGACACTTATGCTGTGTTTGTTAGGGGGCTGTCTTTTCTATTTCTTTCTCAGAGGACAACCCCTTCTTGTTGGCTATAGGAGGCTCAAAGGGCAAATTGGAAGTAAGTGAAAAGGGTCAACGAACTTTTACTTTTGTATTCTTGATAGTTCTCTCTGAAATTGACTGTTGTAACTAATAATTTGTAGGTATGGGACACGTTGTCTGATTCTGGCATCTCTCGTAGATATGAGAACTACAACAAGAATAGAACTCAATCTGGGTCTTGATATAATATTGTTCTAGTTTTCCTTCCCTCCCTTGCCCTTAAAAGAAAATGTTTGGACTGATAACTGCTCAACTGCGAACAAGTTGTGTTGCATGTATCAAAATTTTGGAACTCACTGCACACGTCTACCCTTACCGTTTGTACTCGAGAGATATTTGGTTTCTGTTCCTATATAATGTCCTTCAGTGCTTCTTGTAGTTTAGGAGTATTTAAATTGTAAAAGTAGTTGTGAAATAGTTTGAAAGGATATCTTAAGGATGGATTGATACAGTTTGATTCTGAGTTCTTCATTATTCTTGTATTTAGCATCCTAACAAGTTTTCAAAGAAACTTCTTTAAAAATATGTTCTTTGGTTCGGATCATGGATCGTTTTAATATTTATTTTCACCGTTGTAGCGCAATTACGTTTTTAGTGCGTGTCAAACCTGTTTGATGAGTGATGACAATGCCAAGCTTGTCCTCTTTTTTGCTAGTTTGATCTAGCAAGTTTTGCAATCATGGGAGCATGTCTAAATGTTGGTTAAAGCGTAGAAGTAATTATCACCTAGAATCAAGGTGCTTATTAGGGTCCCTCTTTTTTCATATTCTAGGAGAATTTTTTCTCCTATTATAGACACAAGATGTAATGGGCTTCATCACCTATTAAAAATAAAAAAAATAAAAAAAAATGTTGCACACATTTCGATGTCTCACTAGTAAAAAAAAAAAACTTCTATAACATAAGAATTCTTTTCCCCTACTTATTATCACCTAATATATTTATAAATTTTTGATGAATCAATTAATTCGATCCGTGCTAGAGTGATAAAGTTTTTCCTACAAAATTTCAAACATAACAGCGTTCTATTTCGAGATCATTGGTTATTTTGAATTAATCCTCAATTGATCATGTGCTCGATAGTATATAATAATCATTATGTATCAAAGTCATGTGAGTAACGTTAAAAAAAGAATGAAAGAAGAGTTTAATCATGCACTCTTTTCTAATTAACGCGCAAGCATGGGAGAGAAACAAGAATTTATGATTTTATTTTGTATGATTAAATATTTTTGAAATTATGTAAAGAATTTTGCGGACATTTAAAAAAATAAAATAAATTCACGTAAATAACAATTGTTTTACCATATGATTCAAATTTTGGTATTTACAGTGATCTCTCTCTCTCTCTCTTAGCCATCGAATATGAATTAACATATACATACTTTGCCATGCCTTCAAAAGAATTAACATGATGGTCAATATAAACAAATAAAAGCATTGGGAACATCTCGTCTCCACTTGCTTGGTTGGTTACTCTTATACACATATTCCAATCCCTAAAGTATGCAACTTCAGAAGAGGAATCCTAAACGAGCTCTGCTATTTCTATCTCCGTTAATAGGCAAGGACACATTCTGTGGTGTAACCAAACGATCGAGGAGGTGCAAGTGGTAACTCTTGCTAAAAACTCATGGTTGTTTGATTCCATGCACTTGGTCAATCAAGTCCTTTTAAAAATGAGACACGGAATATAAAGGTGAAGTCTTAATAACATATGAATGACAATTTAAGTCTACGTCTCTATAGTATAAACTGTCCAAGCATTTGAGGTTTGAGCCATACGCATGGCCGCTATAGCTGAACATAGTGGATAGGCTCAACATACCTCTTATACAGCAAATTTTGGTTCACTTAAACCTACATAGGCTACATTTGATATGATTGTCTAGTAAATTTCTCTTTAATATTATCAACAATCACGTTGCATTAAATAAATACTTTATATTATTATTTTGTATCAATAATAATAATATAGTATTGTTCCACAGGCTTATCAATTTTAAATTAATTTAAGTAAAAGTATTATATTTGCTTTCATATCTAATACACCTGACAGCGACAAACGCAATAACCATATATAATTGCTTATTCACTAGAGACTATAAATAGTCCTCATCCTCACTTTTTAAGGGGATGGCTTTGTAAGTACAATGAGATGAAGAGAAAAAAAAAAAACTGAAAAAAACTACAAACTGTACACGGGGATGACCTTGTAAGTACAGAAAGAAGAAATAAAATAAGAAAAGAAAAATCTGATGAAGCTGAACATTTTGTCAACCAAAGACTCTTAAGCTACGCAACGAGGAGCCTTTCCTGTAATTATGGGCTTCACATTAAGACACTTGGCAATTGCCGGAGCTCCATTGAATGTAAGATTAATATCACTTAGCTCCACGGCCTCACATGGAACACCCTTGCTGCATATAAGAGTCACCCCTTCCTTATTTTGGGAAGTGCCCCTAATGTTCTTGAATGTAACCTTGCTTATCTTTACCTTTGATGGAACCTAAGCCATTGCAAGCAAGCACAAAATAGAAAAAATAAATAAATAAGAAACCTCACAGCATAATATGATTGAAGATATAATCAAATTTTAGAGTAGCTATTGAATAACTACCTGTTTTGAGCACTGGTTCCAAGGACAATACTCTTGGTCTATAATCACAGGGTTCATGACATTATCCATGACAATATCTTCAAAATGCATATTAGAAACAGGAGAAGTTCCTGGAGCACTAGGCCAAGTCTTGATCCTCACTCCATTGGTAGTACCTTTCAAAGTGCAATTCTTGAATACCAAATGTTCTACAGGCTCTTCATTTGTGTACTTTCCAAGGCTTCCAACACTAATGCCATGGCCAGGTCCACAAATCGTATTCTGGACAAGTAAATTTCTGGTTCCATCTCCAATTGAGACACAGTCATCTCCTGTAGCAATTCTTGTGTTAATAACTTTTATATCAGTTGATCGTCCAATGTGGATCCCGTCAGTATTGATGCTGTTTCCTGGAGCACTGACGATGAAGCCATCAAATGTGAAGTTTTGGCACCCCAAAACATTAACATGAAAATTTTTGCTGTCCTTTGAAGTTATGCCCCGAACAAGACCATGTTTAATGAAATTAAAACCAAAATTCTGTTGACATATAAATATATATTTCACAAGAAACCTAAGTTAGTCACATGTTTGGTAGAGGTATTAGTTATTTGACAATTGAAATGGCCATATATTATTTACCATTGAACGCCTCTTGCAATTCTTGTTTAATCCACAATCATTTTCTCTCCAAGCAGCTGCACCTTGACCATCATAAGTACCTCTTCCTGATAAGGTTAAATGATCAACGTATCCAAATTTAACCCATTGATAAGCATCATTGAGTGCATTTGGGTTTGCTGGTGCTTGGATTATGCCATCAAGCTGAACTTCAATGGGAGCCTTGCAAGGACCTTTGACATCTATTTCTTTCATCTTATATGTCCCTCCAGGAATCACAATTTTACTTGGAGTTGTTGATGCACATGCTGCATTCCAAGCTTTTACGAAAGCCTTGAGATAACATATAAAATACAAATCAATTACAAAATTATAATCATGATGATGAAGATGTAACAATCAAGTTATGCTTCAATGCCAACTTAAATATGAATCTTGAACCTACGAGTGACCCTTAGGCCTTAACAACACCACCCCTTTAACTCGTTAAAAATTGTGTGTTTAATCATCCCTTTTTTGTTGTTGTTGTGAATTCAACATGATCATACCTGTGTGATATCTGCATTTGGAGCTCCACCAAATTTTCTTATATCAACGACTGTAGATTGAGCTGTATCTAACGTAGCCAACAATAAGAATAAAACAATTGCTGTAACACTCAACTTCGTATCCATGTTGATTACTATTGAACTTTGTCTTATTGTACTTCTAATGATATGAATGATGTTTTGAAATTATGGTGGAGTGGTACTTATTGTGGAGTTGGGAAGCTTCAAAACCATCAACAACGTAAACAAACCTCTATCAAAGGTAATTTTGTCCCCGCAGTTGTTGGGTTGAGAACTTAGTCTATTAATAGAAAGTTGTTTGCTAAAATAAGATTAAAGGACATAAATTAAGGATTTTTGTTTGTGACATTACATTTTTGGAAAGAAATAAGAACTACATTGAAAGACTTATCATTTCGACCAATAAAGGCATATCACAATAGAGGTGAAAGTGGACCGGGCCGGATTACCAAACCTATATCAGGCCAAGCTCAGCCAACTTTATATAGGCAAATAAAACAGCCTTGAGCTTTTAAGAAAGTCTATTTAGGAAGCAAGTCATAAGTATTTTTTTTTCACGCTGGGCCTATAAGTCTCTAGGTCGTCCTATATTATATTATTTATTTTAAATAAAATAAAATAATATTATTCATAGTAGTACCAAATGGTGATAGCTCAGTTGGTGCGTGTGAGCTGAGTAGGTGGTGGAAAGACCTAGGTTCGATCTCCACCAATACCACATTTGGAAGGGGTATAAGATCAATACCAATCTCTACAGTAGCATCAGAATCAACCTTTAGTGCTTGAGGAAGAGTAATTGATGCTTATCGTTCTAGCTTGACTGAAGATACCAACCAAGCTTTACTATGTGGTGAAGATGGGCTACGTAATAAGTATGGCTTGAAGAAAAAACAAAAGGTATAAAAAGATTTTTTTGTTTCATAATCTTATTTTCTTCTATTCTTTAATCTTCTTTTTTGTTTTCTACATTTACAAATTGTTTGCCAACTTACGTAACTGATATGCCTCCAGCATATATATGACTTTAAGCCAAAAAGAGAAAGAATCTTGATTAATCTTGGATAAAAAGGGTTAGAATTTTTATTAAATTGATAAATCTCAATCAGATATCTTGTCACTGATTTTCTTATATTTTTGTAGGAAAAAGTACAAGAAAGGGGCCCAATTGAGCAGCAGATAAAAAGGCAAGATTTGAATTATAGGATATTGAAATCAAGAGATATGATCAAGATTTGAATCAGACTATATCAGGAAAGATTGGACCCAAGATATACAATGAAGATTTGATCAAGATTTCTAAGCAAGACACAAACTTTATAAATAGAGACTCAGACCCTAGAGGCAAACAATTTTTGGCTGGAGAGAATTCTTGGAGGCTCATGCTGGAGATCAGGATTCCGATAGAGTTGAAGATTGAAGACCATTTTGATCAGAAGGTGCCCCGCTTATGATCTGCCAGACGGGAAGAAGGTCAGAATCTTCTATAGTGGAATGACACTAGACTCTAGAATAGTTGTCAATGGTGCAGCCGGTGGGACCATAGCAAGGAAGACAACAGCTCAAACTTTAGAGCTGACCGACTTCATGGCCAGGACTGAGAACGCATCAATGACAGTTCAACCAGTTCAACCAAGAATGGGAATCCTGCAGTTGGGACACAAT